AGACCTTATACACAAGAATTTATCAAATGCTTTAGTTATAGATAGAAGTAAATTCAACCACAACTAAAAAATTATTAAAAGAGAAAGTAACTTGCATAGACTGAAAATTCTTGAATCTTATCAAAATTTAAATCTGCGCCCTGTTTTTTTTTTCAATATCTCAATTCCTGAAAGAAGTACTACTTTTCCAAGCCAAGGTAATGACTACAAAAATGTTAAGAACAAAACATTTAAAAGAAAGCTATTAAATTCATAACCTCATGCTATTCAATGTATATAACACATAAATAAATCCAAAACTAAAATAATCTAAATGTTAATTTGTATATAAAAAATAACTTATTCGCTGTTGTTTATTAGACATTGAATTGTATCACTTCATGTCCTCCATAACTTGCCTGACTTTTCAGTTAACCTGATGAATATTTATGAGGGTTCCTATGACTAAAAATTTAAGTATCATCAGGCCAGATTCAAAATTTTACTCCAGGAGTAAAATTTGTCCCTGGCCTGATGATCCTTCATTATGCTTTGATAAAGTCCCTCAGAGGACAAATTGCATTAAGATAAATTTTCCATTTGACTTTACTCATATGGTCCTTTTATTGATATAGTCTATCTGAAATTATATATATATATATATATATATATATATATATATAGTTTAAGAAAAACTAGGTAATCCTTATGGGTAAACCTAAGGAGGATAAAATCCAGAGAGCTCAATGTAAATCCAGAGCAAATAATTTAAATAAAAACAGACCACTTTAAAATTCCATGTAATAAATTATTTCACCAATGCCCTTTTAAAGGACTGTGGATCATCAGACTTTACTTCCAAACAAAATTTTTTGTAAATTTAAGTTTCCCCAATGTATTTTTGTTTGGAAGTAAAGTCTGATGATCCGCAGTCCTTTAAAAGTGCTGTGGTGAAATAATTTATTACATGGAATTTTAAAGTGTCTGTTTTTATTTAAATATATATATATGGCAACCATATGTGTGTGTATATATATATATATATATATATATATATATAATATGTGTGTGTAGGTATATATATATATATATATATATATATATATATATATATATATATATATATATATATATATATTTGGTTGGATAGATGTGAGTTTGTGACCCTGGGTTTCACGCTTTAGCGATCGTCAGACAAACTGATTAATATTTTAAAAATTTGGGTTTATGTAGATTATGTGTATTGGTGTTATTGTGGGAAGTGGTGGGGGGAATTTTCGTCGTTTTCATTCATCGTACTAACACAAGCATCGATGTATGCAGACACATATACATACTTGGTTGTCCGTCGGGACTCATACATATATAAACATATGTGGGCAGTTTTGGCTATGACACATGTAGGTATACGGGTGGTGTTATATCTATGCATACGCGTCTGTATGTTGAAATGTTGAAATCTAAACATTGGAAGTGTGACGGAAATGTCTCGTTGATGTGTACATGTCATATGTATTTTCTAGCTGGAAAATATTTCCTCGCATGTATGTATATGCGTGTGGTGGGGTTTGTGTAAAATTATGATAGGTAAAGATTATTATTATTTATATTTATTTATTTATTTTTTTTTTTTTTTTTTTTTAAATTTTTAAAAAAGGAAAGGTAGGGCTTTATTTGTTATATTTAAAGCTGGTTATTTGTTTGTTTTTGGTGACTGTGTATATGTAACAGGTAGAAATTTGTAATCCTTGTTGGTTAATTTATATGGTGATGTTTAGTTTAATATTCAATGTGCTGGGTGAGAGGGTAGTTCAATTTAATTTAATAGTGGGTTTATATGGTATGATGTGATAGTAATGTTTCAAGGGATTGGAGACAGAAATTAAATTGTGATTGTTGGTGGTTTGTTTGTTTTATCCGTTTGGTATGAATTCGGATAATAGGTTCTCATGTTCTCATGCATTTGGAGATTATCTCTGATTTTTTTGTTTAGTAAGTTCTTTTTTGCGGTTTGTGTGATATTATTGCTACTTTTTCGTGTAGGCAAAGTAGGCATTTTTTGTAATGTTGTTGTAGGCAGGGCTTTTTCAATATTTCCCAACTTATTGTTGGTGTGATGTTTTTGTCTTTTTGCTGCCATATGTATGTAGAAAGTGTTGTGCTGTTCGAATATTTCCTGTTGTTGAATGAAAGGTTGTGATTGTTATTCCTCATTTTGAATGGGCCTTCGTGGCAACTGATGTAGTGCATAGTGTTGTTGTTTGTACTTACCTTGGCCATGTATATAGTGTTCGTAAGTTGGCAATTTCCTTGGAGTGACATGTTGTTCTGTTTCTGCAGTTGCATATTGGATCCTTGATTACATTTTTGTAGGATGTCATTTTTTTGTTGTGGCTTTTAATTATTTCTGTTATATTTTTGTACAGCTGTAGCTGATCTTTACATTATTTTTGTTGAATATTTTTGATAATTTGTTTTCTTCAGTGAAGTGTTTTTCTATTAAGTTTAGGAATATTTTGCCTATGTTCGTTTTAACAGTTTTGTTATATGGTGGATTAAACCAGATAATGCTTCTCTTTCTGTTTCTGCGTTTTTGGCTGTGGAGTATATATTGTAGTTGTTGTGTGTAACCACTTGCTTTTAGTGCTTCGTTGTATGGTGCTTTTTTACTATTGAAAATGTGTATGTTAGATGAGTTCTCAGATAGTCTGCGGCTGATTGATTTTGGTATTTGTTTGATGATAGAAGGTGGGTGGTTGGAGGATGTGTGTACGTAAGTTGGGGTGTCATTTTCTTTTTTGTATGGTTCATACGTGTTGTTGATCAGGTTAAGAGTGACGTCAAGGAAGTTTACTATTGTTGGGGGTGTGTGTGTGTGTGTATATATGTGTGAGTGTTTAAATATTTGTTTATATGATTTGTATGCACATATATATATAGATGTATATGTGTGTATGCGTTGTGTCTGTATAGATATATATCTATGTGTGTGTGTGTATATATTTATATAGGTAAGTATATGTGTGTGTGTGTGTGTATATATATATATATATATATATATATATATATATATATATTTCATGAATTATTCATACAAAAACAAATACAAAGGTTAATGATTTAATTGGCGAGAAATCCATCGTCATGAACAATTCAAATAATATACAAAACCCGAACCTGTTTATGAATGAAAAGATCCTTGTTTCTATAAATTTCTGTTGCATGAGTTCTTATTATTTTTACAAGCTTTCGTCTGTTCCTACAGACATCCTCAGGTATGGAATAGATTTTGTTCTTGTTTTTTCTCTCAGTAATAAGAGGACAACAAAAATATATGTATTGTTGTAATCCGAAAAATGCTATTAGAAATGAGTTATAAGAACTCATGCAACAGAAATTTATAGAAACAAGGATCTTTTCATTCATAACTCATTGTCCTTCAACCAATCTGGTTCTCATCCACATGATGTGGCTTAGTTTTTGGTCATTAATTAAAATTATCATTTTAATTTTTCATCAGCACAATTTCTCAGTCTGTCCTTACTCATAAAATTAGAAATTTATCTGCTGCTTTCTCCAGTCAGTCACTCCTCCACCCTTCCATGGTGATTGCACTGCAAGCACCCTAGGTTTTGGGTCCTTACACAAAGAAACTCTATTCCCTTGATTTGGTTACAAAGATCACTAAATTTTATCTTTTAATTTATGCTTTCATAACCAGCACTTTTTAAAGCTATATATTTTGTCATGGTTTTTGTGGTAATATCTTGTAACAGAATGACTTTTCTTTGAGTTGTTTCTTGCCCTAAAAATTAGACTTTTGGAAAAGAGGAATTTTCCTTTATCTCTGTCTATCCATCATTCTATTCCTTAATCCTTCCTGTCTTGTTCCAAACCATATTTTAGTTTTTGAACCCTTTCTTTCCATTTGCCAGTGTCACAATTGATGTACTGAGCAACAGATATAGGACTGTTCGGCCAAGGAAAACAACAGTTGATGACAGAAACATTGTTAGAGCTGTAAGGAAAAACCCCAAAACAACAGTTGGTGACATCACCAACCATCTCCAGGCAGTAAAGGTGAAAGTTTCACATTCCACTGTTTGCAGAAGACTTTGAGAGCAGAAATATAGAGGCCATACCACAAGATGCAAACCACTCAACAGTAAGAATAGGGAGTCCAAATTGGAATTTGCAAGAAACTACATTGGAGAAACCTCCAGGAATCTCAATAAAAGATTATATGAACACAAAAGAGATATTTTACAAAATAATACGTCAAATGCGTTGGTTGTTCACTGTAACGAGACTGACCACAATTTTGACATAAAAAATGCTACTCTGATCAAAGGTAAAAATAAAGCACTATGACGTAAATGCCTAGAGAGTGGCTTAATTATATGGTCATATACAGTAAATTTGCACCCTGGCTCTTACAACATTTCCCCATTCCTAGCAGATCTTCTAATATCACAGTGTGGAATACCTAAAATTTCCAGCGCCCCTCAGTTGTGCGCATGTGTAGTCCTACCAACATAACAAATTTAGTCCAATGTAGTCCTGATGGATGAAATGTGTCACAAGTAAACCTTTTCCACTTCATCATACAATTTCCTCATCATCAGGCCTTTACCTGCTGATTGTGTTTAGCATTTAACAGACCACTGCCTCTGGGTGCACACACACACACACACACACATATATATATATATATATATATATATATATATATATATATGAATGTGTTTGCCCACTTTTTAAATGTGACAAAAATCAATAGAAAGATTGATCAAAATGAATAAATTTTTCATATTTTGAATACTTCACTTTTCTCTGTGTAAGTAAAGATTTTTAATTTTAATTTTTTGTTCCCTTTGAAATGAGTAAATGTGGCGGCATGTCAGTTATTTTTATTTTAGTTTATTACTTTTATTATTTTGTTGAATTAATTTAGTCTTTCTATCCATTTTAATTTTAAAAAGATTCATGTATAAACATTTATTATTTCATTTATTTTTCAGGCACCTTGGTCTTTGGTTTTCTGGCTGTCTTTTGAACAAATCCGAAAAATGACTGGAGTAACATCTTTTTAATACGATGATAAAGAAAGCCTGCTGAAGTCACTCTATGCCCTTAAATCTAACCTTCTAGTCTTGCTGGAGACAATGTATTAATGATCTCCATCATCTGGAAGAGTATTGATGCCTTTCATTTGCTCTTGTCTAGTATCATTTTTTTTTCTATGAATTCTTTATCAATTCATGAAATAATTTACTTATATATACATATATTTCTAAAGAATGAATGGATTTTATTTTTTAATCTAACATATTTTTATTACTTCAAATGTTATTTTTAGTGGATACTCATATTCGAGTAGACACTCTGTTCTATTTTAAACAGTATTTATTTTGGCAGGTTCAAATCCTGCCAGGGAGCACCTTTTTCAAGTTTTCTCAAATGTTTTCAAAATAAATATTATTTAAAATAAGATGGAGTGTCAACTCAGATACTGGTTATCTACTAAAAATAATGTTTGAAGTAATAAAAATAAACACACACAGACACACACTTTAAGAAAGAAAATGTGCCCTTTGGCAGGGTTTGAACCTGTATCGCCCCTTTCATAGAGAAACCACTGTTTTTGCCTAGTATACATCAATTATTCTGTTTAAAACCACACATAGCCACTAAAATATAATCTTTATAGTAAAGAGAAATAATGTCGGATTTAAAATACATTAATTCCTCAGATACACATTCAATACATACATACATACATATATAAAAATGAATGTAATGAGAATGAAAATAATATATAAATTCTTATGTTCACGTCATTAATTCAAAAGAGGGCTCAATACTGATAGTAGAGCAATAATTATTTATTATAATTTTTTCATATAGACAAAAACAATTTACTCGTGAAAAAGATGCAACTTCGTTTCGGTGCATTTAGTTGCACCTTGACTGGTGAAAACCAAAAAGATAACTATTTTGGTTCTCACCTGTCGAGATGCAACTAAATGCATTGAAACAAAGTTGCATCTTTGTCGTGAGTAAATTGTTTTTGTCTGTATATATATATATATATAGTATTAAGTTGTAAGAGATTTTAGGTGCCAAAACTGCTGATTCTTTTTCCTTAGTTTACTGGTGGGGAAAGCATTTTAGGTTCACAGCTTTTTGTCATAAAGTGCTCAATATTAAAAGGTAATGATAGAGTGTTAATAGAACACCCCTGAAGTGTGAAAGCATAACAGCAATGTGCTCACGAAACTTCAAAGTCAACATGACTGAAGCAATACTACTCTGTTAATTGATAAGTTTCTCCACATTAATTCTAATTATATATATATATATACACACACACACACACACACACACACACACACACACACACACACAGAGTGTGGTGCATATTTTTAAGACCAGCTGAGCTTTCAACTTTCGACAGTTGAATTTTGCTGATTTTTTTCATAAATAGCTGTTATGAGAAAATTTTCTGGAAGTAACTGTTTTGAAAAGTACTCTTTTTAGCAACACCTGTTGCAAAATTATAAGACCAGTCACAGAATGTCAAAGAAATCTTTATTTTTAATAATTTGTAACACCTTCCTGATGATAACTGGATAATGTGTTCTCACAAGGTCTCTACCTATCTACGCAATTGATCATTATCTACTGAAGATCACGCATCCTATACAGAGTTTAAATTCTTAGGTTGAATGATATATACCTTCATACACTTTACAATCAAGAATAGCTGACATCTCCTCAGTTGGATTGAGGTCAGGGGAATGTTGTAGTCAACTTGTAGCATCAATGTTATGGTTCTGAAACCATTGCTTATGTGATGGATTGGTGCATTTTTTTTATTGGTATTTTATCATGTGTTTTCTCTGGGTTCTAGTTGCCTATTGGTAGTTCCTCAGTAGGGACCCCTAAGCTGCATCAACAGGCTCAATCAATGACAATCAATTTTCTTCAGGTTTCTTTTTACTTGTTTTATTTTCGGATGGAGGGAGTACATAATAGGTATCAGTTCTTGGAGGAAGTGAGGGATAGAAAATGTATGTCAACATATTGGCCAATTCTGCAGCCTCTCTATATGGGGGCTCAATTCCAGCTGAAAAACACAGTATGCAAAAGAATCTGTTGCAAGATCACAAAATAAAATTATTCAAAACTGGCTTTTACTTTCTAAGGACCTCCCTTCTACTTTTGCTTGATTCTGACCACTTTTACTAAATTTACATGTGAGCTTGACCTTTTTCTTTCTTCTTAAATGGTACGAAGGGTCAGATGAACTGGAGCCACCACTACTATCATTTGTCTATGTCCGTTGGAACCATTTATTCCGATTCCTTCCATTGTTGAAATATCTGATTCATCTTCCAAATTGTCATATTGGCATCTCCATTTCTTTTCCAGATACTTGTTTCTTTCATTACCTGAGTCACCTCCTGATTCATCAGTGAGTTCTGGGGTTAGCTTTTGTAGTTCCTTGTTATTACTAGGGATAATCTATTTCTCAATATTTGCTGCTCTAAGGTGTACTGCATAGGCCTTAACTAACAAGCTTGTTAGTTGAACCTTGATTTTGTATGATACCCAGTCCTACTATATCCAGCAGTAAGAGCTCTCATTGGAAGATTGGAGGTTTTGAGGAGCATGGAACTACCTCTTAATTGCTGTTGTTCCCAGGTCTGCCGTGACCCAGGGTGGTAGCACCTGTTAGGGTCCCAGCTATAGGCAAATAGGGAACCCAAAAACAAAATACTATGAAAGTATGAAAATACATTTTCATAGTAAAAATACCAGCAATACATTTTTATATAGTAAAATTAACAATACATATCTATAGTAAAATAACCCACATTTTTAAAACAAAATGACCAGCAATACATTTTATAGCAAACTGACCAACAATACACTTTATTTATACTTGAAGGTATAAAATTGTGTTCAAAATATATTTAGATGAAGCTATAAAATTGTGTTCATAATATTTATATTTCAGCATTAAATAACCCATAGAGGTTGATATGCTGCTAAACAATTTGAAACAAAAAAAATTGTATATCAGATAAATCATTTCAGTCACTACCAAATACAGTCTCCACCACTTGTCTAATTTGTGATGATTAGGATAATTTCTATAATAGCCGAGTCTCCTGTTTTAAAGTCTATATCCCTTTTCTGTCTGTTGCTTTGTCATGTTCTTTAAATTATTCATGATGTACAAGTGCAGTGTTGTTCCTGTGGTACTTTTTGGTTTTGTTCTTTTCTATAATACAAGTAATGTGATTTTAAAATGTTATATAATGACAGAACAATGTCTCTATTATAAAGTAGTACAGAGAAAACATCTGGTTAATATACAAATCCCACAATTTATCATTATCATTAATTATTATGGCTAAATGCTGTGCATTTTCCTATGCAACACTTGTTCTACCTTACTATTGGGTAATAGAATTATATAGTCTCATGATGTATATATAAAGCTTTCTAGCATCTCCTTCCTAACCTTGTTTATATTTTCGGTATTGTTATACTGGTCTACAATTTTTCAGATACTTGATTAGTCATCAAATACTTATCATTTTAGGCAGGCTCATTATTTCTTATGCATCTGTGTATAGCTTATGTCCTTTGTTCATGTTTGAGTGTCACTGATTGCATATTTTTCAAGCAGTCAAATGATACCTGACATTCATCGTCCCACCTAAAATACATGTTTCCTATTTAATGGTCCTGTTAAGCTAGAGAATCAGGGAATAAATCTCCAGTAGTAGGAATATATACTGATGAAGGCCCTAGACCTGTTTGCCAGTTGTGAGTGTTGCCACAGAGAATGTAGTCCTTACTTTATCTTGATCTAGCTGTACTCCCATTGCACTGATTTTAAACTCCAAGCATTAAATCTCTGTATTAAAAAAGAAAATGATACTTGGATAGTTTTAACTTTAATTTGTACTTCCATAAACTGCTGAAAACCATTTAAATGTTTATCTAAATGTAATAAACCATCTAAAGAAAACCATTGCTGTTCAACTGAATCAGAAAACACTAAAGTATAACCCAAATATACCAAGGTATACTTTTCCTCTTCCTAGCAGGGCGCCTTTCGTTTCGCATTTGTTGTTGTGTCTGAATGAGTGCATATCTGTGTGAGTGCTTGGGATGAATGAATGTTTTATACTATTATAGACCTGCATTGATTTCAGCCAGTGAACTGATGTTTCTGCCACATTTAGTGATTGTGGGGGGTTTTATTACTAATCTTATTTTCCTTAGTTTCTTTTAAATAGTTTTTTTTTGTATTTATATTGTAGATACTCATTGGGGCTAGTTTTTAGAATTGTTGTTTTATTCCCCCCGGACAATGAATTGTAAATATGGGGACTAGTTAGTATCTTCATAGAGACATTGAGGTATTATGGTGGTTGTAGTAAGAAAGGTACATATAAATGTGTTGTTTTGGTGTAAGGAATATTGTTTGTACAATTCGGTCAGTGTTTGTGGCTAGCTAAGTTATAGTTAAGACAGAAGAAGACCGTCCTTTCCCCAATCCCCCCTTTGGCTATGTGCCACATTTCTGTATTAAACAGAATAAATATCACTTTTCCCCTCCCTGTAAAAATGGTGGGGGAAATACAGGGGGTACATTAACCAGTCCAAATGGTATGATATTAAAGTGTAATAATTGCCGATGATATGTGAATGCACTTTTGCCCTTATCATAGCTATACTCCATTTCAAACTAGATCTCTTTCCGATTCACTCTGCATCAAATCCTATCAGCTGGATGTGAACACTACAAAAGCAAAAATAAAAATAAAAACAAGTTGCTCTCTGCACTGAGGTGCCAAGCATCACATCCAGCTCACCAAACAAATCTTCTCCAAAAAATATATAAAATACAATATAGGAGCCAATCGTGTTGCCACTAAAGCAATAACATGACAAAAAATCCTCAACCCTGTATGCTTTTAAGAATGCCAATCACAACACTGTTGCAGAATAGAAGACCAGCTGTCAAAATTATCACCATCTATGGGTTAATTTGTAA